CTTTCTTTCCTTCTCTGCCCAGATAGCTCCTGCCATTAAGGCCCCAGGCCAGATGTTACTTTCTATGACTGCAGTTGTATATCAGCCATTTCTTTGGACTCCCATAGTATCTCTGTATCCATCCCTTCCTAGCTCTTGCCTTAATGCTTTGATTACCTATTAACTGCTCCGAGTTTCCCGATAACCCCAGAGTTCTATCAGGTCAGCAACCACATCTGCTCACTGCAAAAATTGAATTCTGGTGCTTCCTCCAGCCACTATTTGCTGAGTGAGTGAAATGAGGCATCACATGCTAGTAGAATGATCAGTGTGTGTGTGTGTGTGTGTGTGTGTGTGTGTGTGTGTTTGTGTTTGAAAACTTTATTCTAAAATAAACATCATGGGAACATAACTATTCTGTGTCTATTCATGGCATATTGTCTTCTTGCCCTGGCTGCTATGTTTGTAGAAGAGGGGAAACGGTTCTGTGTTCCTTTGGTTACAGGTTCATTTTAGGACAGGATTTGGAGCTGGTATACTCTGTCAATTCCAGGAAGTCTTGCAGGTGATAAAGTTTCAAAACAAAGAACAGATGTTTACTGGCTCCACTGGTCAGTGAAGGCGCCTTTTATTTCAGCCGTGTAAGAGAGATAGGTTTTTTGATCAGTACTTTGAAGTTAAAATTAAATTTGTTTTCATTATTTTAGTATATCCTAAGTTCCAGGTTCTATTCTCATATTAACGAGGAACAAACCCAAAAGATCTCACACATCTAATGTACTTATTTATAATATATTACCTATAAATTTAAAATTATGTGTTTTGAGCTATTAATTTCTATACATATTATTTAATCTACCAAAGCCTCTTCATCATAACATTTTGTTCCATATGTATTGACCCTGGAAAGACATTTAAGGGCATCATTCTCTTGTTTACATGGAGACTTAAGAACTTGTTTTCAGGCTACCTTAAATGCCCTTCCCTAATAATGAGATTGATGACTAAATTGTCTGCCATCATAGGGCCCTCATCTAATAGCTGATGGAAACAGAAGCAGACACCCACAGCTAAACACTGAGCTGAATTGGAATCCAGATGCAGAGAGAGAGGAGTGATAAATAATGGGGACAAGACCAGGCTACAGAAATCCACAGAAATAGCTGACCTGAACAAGGGGGAGCTAATGGAGCCCCCCCAAAAAAAACTGATAGCTGGGAAACCAGAATTGGACCGACTCAGACCCCCTGGACACAGATCTCAGTTAGAAGGCCTGGGCAGTCTAAGGGACCTCTGACAGCAGCACCAGGATGTATCCCTGGTGCACAAAAGGACTTTGGGAGCGCATTCCCCATGGAGGGACAGTCCCTTAGCCTAGAGGCAGGAGGGAGGGCCTAGTCCCTATTCCAAATGACAGATTTTGTTGATCCCTCCTGGAAGGCATCACCCTCCCTGTGGAGTTGTGGGGGGATAAGATGGGAGGGTGGGGGGCATGGGAGGGAGGGAGACAGGGGAAGAGAGAGGGAGGGAAAAGGAACTGGGATCGATATGTAAAATAAGAGAAAAAAGAACTTGTTTTCAAATAGAAATAGTTGTAGTCATTTTACTGATTGTAGTATGCTCTTTTTTGTTTCTTCTGTGAAAAAAAAAACCAAAACAATAACCAAAAAAAAAAAAAAAAACAGACGGGGACCAACTTGCAAGAGGAAAGTGTTTATTTCAGCTCACACTTTACAAGTCAATCCCTGATGAAAGTCAAAGCAGGACCTCAAGGCAAGAACTGAAGTCAGGAACCTGAAGCAGAGATCGTGGAGGTGCTCTGCCTTCCGCCTTGCTTCCCTGGCTGGTTCAGCCACCCTTCTTCCACAGCTCAGATCCACCTGCCTAGGGCTGCTACTCCCACAGTGGGTGGACCCTCCTGCATCTATTAGCAACCCTTCAAACCATGCCCCACAGACATGTCCACAAGCCATCTCATTTGAGATTCCCTCTTCGTGTGTGTGTGTGTGTGTATGTGTGTGTGTGTGTGTGTGTGTGTGTGTGTGTGTGTGTGTGTAAGTTTGTATCAAACTGACCAAAACTTTCTGTGACATGATAAAATATCTTACTGTGATAAAAAAAAAAAAAGGGTTAGGAAGCAGGAAGAGGAAGTTAAATGTTTTGCAATTCTACTTGTGGGTTGTTGTGTTAAACACCTTAGAATGCATGTTCCTATGATGTTTTATGGATATGTCATGTCCATTTGGTCTTTGTTTTCAAGTGAAAGTAGTGTTGGTTGCCCTGGAATGTGTGTTTCACCTGACAAGTTAAGGAGCTTCAAGACAGAAGTGGGGGACATTCTTTTTAGGAAATTTTGCCTTTCGGGGTTTGAATACTGTAATTCTGCCTTTGAATTCTTTCTCATTAAGAGAAACTTTGTTGCCAGATATGGTGGCACAGTCTGTAACTGCAGCATTTAGAGGCAGAAGCAGGTAGATCTCTGTGATTTCCAGGCCAGCCAGGACTACATGGTAAGACACTGTTCCCCCACCCTCCCCCAAAAAAGTTAAAAATAGAAAACACCTGTAAAAATCTGTGCAGGTTTCATTTGCAGAACATAAAAACCTGCTGCTATCTGAAGAATGAAAGATGTAATTTAATTTAGTGGGTGTTACAAGACTATGGGGATGTAAAGTAAAGCCTAGGCAGGACCTTTAGGAATAAGCTTGAAAGGATGCACTGTACTAGGGAGTGGCCTCTTGCCCATAATCCTGGAGAGAGAGAACCTGAGGGCAGCCTTGACAGTGGCTGACTGGAAGACACACCATCCTTGCTGATATACAGGGACTCATCTGCCTCTAGAGCCATCCAGATTTTTGGCTGGATCCACCCTGCCCCAAAGCAAATGCCTGGCATTGTCTCCTCTTACTTTTCTACCCGCACTGTTCTGTGGCCAGTGTGTGAAAAGCTGAAAGACAAGCAAACACAACTCCACAACCACGGTCCCTATCAGAGCAGGGGTTTTTGTTGTTGTTTTTGTTTTAATTTTCTGTCCATTTCCACCTTCAAAACTTCAATTAGTGCATTTCATTGCCAGAATTTAAATCCTGTCTGGAGCCCTTGCTCTAGAGCATCTACAAAATGTCATTTTGGGTTGCCTAACCTCTGCCATATAAGGCAATCCACACCTACTCTAGCTAGAGTGGACGTTGATGACCACTATGTTCACCACACATCCATCCTGGCTCTGAATGTTGGATTGTGTGTCCTTTGTATGCATTTGTATATGAAAAAAAATTCAAAGACACACACACACACACACACACACACACACACGAGCAGAATGCTCAGATCATGGCATCTCCTTCCTTCTTTCTGTGTCTGTCTCTCTTGTCTATGTGTCTGCCCACCTCCCTTTTGCCTTGTGAGCCCTGTAGTCAATCCCAGTGCCCTGTGCTTGCTAAGCAAGCTTTATCCCTAGCACTCTTTATTTTCTGTTGTAAGACAGAGTCTCACTAACTTGCCCAACCTGGTCTCAAATTCATGTTGTACCCCAGGCTACAATACGGAGTCTTCCTTGTGTGACTCTTGTTCTGTTCCTGTTTAATCAAAGGTTCTGCATCTCCAGTCACCCAGTCCAACTGTCTCTGTCTGTCTCTGCTGCCCCCTGCTGGTTCATGCCATGGTGTTTCTCTTCTGAGCTGCTTTAGCTCCTAGGCACCAACATTGCCCCCCATGTTGCCACACTGGAATCAGACATTTAGATCATGCCATTTCTCTGCTCAAAGCACACCGTGGATCAAAGGCAAAGTCTTAACCACAATCCATTGGGATCTTCCCAGCATCCTACCCATTTCCTCCTCTGCATTCTTATCTCCGGACTGCATTGCTCAAGCCTCTTTGGTGATCTTAGAAATACCTGTCCCCGAGGAGCTCTGTGTTTTCTGGTCCTTCTCTTTGGGATGCCCAGATACCACATGGCTCTCTCCTCTTGCTCCAGATTAGGTCTGTGAGGCCTGCCCCAATGCTCTATGTAAACTTGCAGAGGGATTCCCCTCAAACCCCCTGGGCTCCCATCTCTGCACCATTTTTCATAAGGCCTTGTATTATATAATGAACTCTGTAACTTTCTTACTGTATATCTTCTTCCATGAGGAAGATGACTTTTACTGTTGGATCTTGAGTCCAACATAAACAATATACACAGTAATCATTCACTAAACAGTCTCCAGGAATGCCTCATGCTCATCTAATTAATTATTGGGGGATTAATTCCTAGGATGAATAGGCAAAAGGGTTTAATGTCCAGGAGCCTGACATCATCCTATCACTCTCCCCAGAACCACAAGATTTTGTTAATTCAGCAAGTTACCACTACGTGCATTCCACTGAACCTTCTCCCAGTCCTCTCTTGTTACAATGTTGCCTCTCTTAAATCTCTTTATTTTAGACTTGAAATGACCCCTTGGACAGGCCTTCCCTTACCACTGGTCCAGGTTAACCCTCAGCCTCATACTCCACCACCCTATTTTATTTTCATGGAGGTGCATGCCACTTCAAATGCTTCCTTGTTTGTATATTTATTTGTCTGTGTTTGATTTTTTTCTGAACTATAAGCTTTATGATAACAAGGAGACTAGCCTATTTTTTCTAACAGTATTTTCCGTAAATGTGTATTTGATAATGAAATAAACACTAGCTATCATTTTTCACTATGAATTCTCTTAGGGACATGGATGTAATATACATGATATTTTCTGGATTGGCAAAGAACCTTTTCAAGTACAAACATCTCTTTTGAGTAGCTCAAAAATGCCAACTTGATCTGGGAGCTTAAGTACTTGGTTTGCATGTCGGTTGGAGATGGTGGTACTTGATCTTTGTACTACTTTGCTGATACGCTATAAAATGTCTTAATGCTTGAAGCCTTCCTCCTCACTTATGCCCATGTTAGTAACCTGAAACCACAATTCCTTAGTGACTCTTGCTTTTATTTATTAGTTTATTTATTTATTTATTTATTTATTTATTTGTCTTCACAGCTTTTGGAAAGAACCAACACTGGTTTTGAAGAATCAGATTGTGTTGCTCCCAAGAGTCCACTCCACTTAGCGGTAAGTGAAGTGCCATGAGCAGCCTCCCCTGTTTGTCTCACAAAGAACGAGTTCAAAAAAGAGCCAGCTCTTGAGATGTAGCCCAGAAAGGCAGTGATTGGTGTTAATGAGAATAGCAGAGAGTTGAAAGCATGGGCGGCCAAGAGAGCCACCAGCTTCACCTTACATACAGTTACCTAGCTTGTCCTCAGTGTCCCATCTGTAGAATGGAGACAAATAAAAAGTTGAAGCCTGCAGGTATAATAAATGATCATGGTAAGCTTTAGTCATTTTTTTATATAAAGGAAACGTTTCAGCTGAAGATCTGATTAGAGAGAATGATATGCAAATGTTAAACCTATGAATAATCAATGTCACATTTTCAAATGTCACAATTAAAACCTGTGTGGGTTTTAAACAAACCTACGGGAAAATAAAAGGAGCAGCAACTATGTCACTCCTGGTTTGCTGTTGGGCCTCTGGGGACGTGCCAGCTGCAGTCTCCATGCTGGAGAGATCCGGGAGGGACAGAGCTCTCACTAGCAATGCTCACTTCCTACCTCCCGGTGAGATTTTGACTCCCAAACTCTTCCTGGAGGTACTTCTGTTCTCATCACTCTGCTTCAGATGGTATCTGGCTCACCCTTAGTGATTGGCAGCTGTTTGAAAGGGCCCTGCTGCCTGTCCGTGGCACCCAGACACAGCAAGCTCACCAGCCTGCAGTGCTGCTGAATGGTCAACCATGGTCAGAGAGGTCCAGATGGTCTGTAGATGTCCCTTTGTTTAGTAAATGCAATGGGACAGGATTCGAGGAGAATAGAAGGGGCCAGGTCTACTTTCAACTGGTAAATTTTGTCTGTATAAGGTACAAGCCTTCTTTAGTGTCATTCTGATGAATATTTAGATAGAAGAATGTTTTATTAATAGGTACAAGTGGGCATTCCTGCAAGGTGAGAGAAGGCCTTGACACAAGGATCTGGAGTGTCCAGGGCCAGTCACCCTGTGAGGAGCCCACCCTCTACTGCCTGTGTCCCCACATACCTGCCAGCATACGTGCAGAAGTCCACTCATACCCACTAAACACATAAACCTTTTCACACACGCGCATATGTTTTGAATGCTGTGAAATCACCCATCCATCTTGGTTCCAGGAGGTAAGGTGGGTGGGCAGTGGGGTGTTCATATGGACAGAATTTCATAGCAGTTGGCTCTGAGAGAAGACTGCTCTTTAAATCCCTGTACAGCTGTCTTCTGGACCCAAGCAAGGTCCCCAGTGCCACTGTTGGCTGTACCTGAGCTGGGTCCCCAGAGCTAAGCATGCATAGTTGCCCTTAGCGAGGCTGTGCGGGTTTGTAGAGCTGAACCCTCATGCCCTTTGAACATGGAGCTGATTGAATTGCTATTGAAAAGAGAGTTCTAGGCTTCCAAAAATTGTATTCCTGTTTTCCTCCAAAAATTATTTACTTTGTGCTCACTGTGTATGAGGTGCCCTTCTGAGCTCCCTGGGTCTCCACTCACACTGTGGTGACATTGTGACAAAGGCAGTGTTACAGCTGGCAAGGGCCAGAGGAGGTAGGGAGAGAGGCAGCCCTAGATGCCACTCTCCTCATCAGTAACTCATCTGGGCATGTTTTCCTCCACTGCAAATTAAAGGGAGTGTACTAGCTAAGGTTCCTTTGAGTTTGTCAGTTCAATAGTTGTGTGATGTTGGCCAAGTACCTAATGTCTTGTGTCTCAGTTTTCCCACCCCTCAGAAGGAAGGAATATCAGTGCCTCCTCAGTGGGAATGTGGGAATGGTATAAGCTAATCGGGTAAAGCAATTGGAAGAGGATCTTGTAGTATATGTGTGTCCTCACCATTACCCACACTTATCTCTCTCCTCCATGTGACACACACTGGCTGTGAATAGTGCCGAACACTTTTCTAGGGGGATATGTTACAGGAGAGGAAAGAAGCCTCTGTCCTTACAGAGTGCCCCATACTGGGGAGAGATTAGCAAGCAATAAGTGCTACAGGAGAAAACAGAATGGAATCCATGTGGTGGAGTATTGAGGTGGCAGACAGGGTGCTATTTTACAGAGCATTGAATGCCACATCCATACAGTGGGCCTGAGAGCTAGTCACACTGTATCTGACAGAAGGTGCTGGACACAGGTGTAAAGTCCTGGAATAAGGGAATGCTTGGCATGTCCACAGAACAGCAGTGTGGCCGGCCACCAGGGAGGGACAGAGCAGGGGGAGAGAATGGGGAGAACAAGGAGGAGGAGGGGAATGGCTGCCACATCTCACAGGCCTCCTGGTCCCAGGTACCAACCCCGAGTTTACTCTGAGCAAAGTAGAAACCACTGGGTCAGATCTGAGGAGATGAAGGAGATGGTATGACTTATGTCTCAAAGATAGCAAACTTACAAAAGAACAGAAGCCAAAGCCAGGCTCGATGTGATCCCACTGAACCTTTCTAGAAGTATTTATTCTTCCCTTACAAGCTAACACTTAATTTTTTTTTTAACTTCAAGACACCTATAAGTAGGCTCATCACCCTCTCCAGAGTTTACTAAAGCAATCACCTTTATAAAACCCAAGGCATATTGTTCTTAAGTAAAAGCATTCTAGCAGAGAAACGGAACCAGATGTCCCTAAACCTTGACACATGGAGAGATCTGACCTGCTCTGGGGTAATATTTCCTGTCCAAATGATTTGAATCTCTAGGGTTACCAGCTTACATTATTTTCTCTTGACAAATTTAAGTTAAGAAATAAGGTTGTGTAAATGGGGGTCTCCAGGGTTGAGATTTCCAGATGGACTTGTGGTGTTCCTCAAATGTGCTGGGCTCCCAGATCCCCTCTCCTTGTTTGCTCATAGTTTCCATCTTTATTTTTTTTTCTCAAACATTGACTGACTTTATTGTGTGTTGGGAGGGAGGATTCCCACCTGGGACCCTACTCTCTTAAATAAAAAGGTGCATGGAAAAGAAGGGATTTAGAAACCTTTATACAATATCTCAACCTGGGTCCCAGGGCAGGAAGGAGGCAGGGCTCTTGGCCCCTACATGCCTACATCCACCATGAACAGGGAGCCACAGGCCAGGAAGAGGTAGCAGCAGGCACATGAGGCTCTGGGGCAGCCACAGCTCAGTTAAGGAAGTGACCACAGCGCTTGGCAACACAGTTTCAGGGCAGCTCATTGCTGACATTGTCTATGGGAATGTAGTCAAAGGTGAGCTCCTCACCTCACAGGGTGCAGTGCAGGGCAAAGGTGACAATGTGTTTCTGGCATTCCACATGGATGACACAAGCAAAGCAGCTGGGCTCGCATGAGTGGTTGATGAAGCGGGCATCATTGCCATGCATGGTGGCATCCACCACATCAAAGTCATCCATGCAGAACATGTAGCACCCAATACCCTTTGCATCATAGAATTTCTCTCGCTTGTCGGTCAGCACAGAGCAAATGACAGTGCCAGAGTATTCAATGCCCACCTCCCCAGCATCCATGTTGAGTTTTCAGAGCAGGCCTCATCCATAGTTTCCATCTTTAAAGGCTTAAGTAGAAGAGTCATGATTAAGGCATTTAAGTTGCCTAATCATATATTTCTTGAAATAGTTTTAATTTTAAAGTTTGTTACTCACAGTGACATCTTAGCGTAGTGAAAATCATCCCTAACCCAAGAAACTATTTGCAAAGGTTACCTGCTGGCAAAGAGAAAATCGTTTTCTCCAACAGAGTCTCCCCAGGTATATCAGCCACACTCCTCGCTCCTGGACAGGACAGACCCCATGCCCAGAAGTGGATGGCCAGCACAAAGTGAACACTAAGTGGTTTTGTTGTTGTTGTTGTTGTGGGATTTTTGTTTTGGCTTGGGGGGGGTCCGGGTGGGGAGGTGGGAGGATCTGGTAGGTGTTAGGGGAGTAGAAAAACATGCTCAAAATATAGTGTATGAAAAAATAATTAAAGAAAAAAAAAGGAGGAGCTGCAAACATATGGAAGAAACAGGAGAATTTGTCATGTAGGTAAACCTGGCTTTTCAACTATCCTGAATACTTTCATGTGCCTAGTACACAAAACCATCTAGGCTGGAAGTCGAAAGCTGTAATTAGCAGGACTCTATCCATTATGTCTTATGCTAAGCTGCTTAACTAGAAAACAGCAAATAGATTTTTGGTTTTTGGGTTTTTTAATTATGAGGATTAAAAGAGAAAGCATAGGGACTAAGTACCTTCATTACAGCTGTTGTTCCAAAAATGTGTACGGTCTCCTGCCTGAGTGTTTCTCCCTCCCCTCCCCCCCGCATGTGTCTTCTCTTTATTAAACCTAAGTATATTGGCCATTGTCCTTGTATATCTACATGCATTGGAAGTTTTCAGAGGCTAAGTTAAGTGAGCAGAAATTAAAATGGTTACTATTCTTGTCATAATGGAGAAAACAGCATCTAGAACCTCTGCTGTCTTCTAGGCACATTGCCCTTCAGCATAACTCAGTAAGCTGCATCAGTAACTACCATTTACCATTAAAGTGGGAGGCAGTGGTTTGGAAAGTCAGTTCTCAAAAGAGCACCAGATTCATGAAGAGAGTAAGGTATGAAAGTCTGATTTACAGTCTGACATTCCTATTGCTAGAACTAGGTTCTTAGCTTAAGATTAGATGCCTCTGAGTTGGCTTAAAAACCACCTGTGGCCTGAGTCACTAATGGGTGAAGTTGGTACAGGATATATGGAAGACAATTACTATTTTTTCTTCTTGGTTGACATTTGAAACTCCCTGTGATAAGTGGCCAAGGAACATGCATCATAACTGCCATACTGAATTTCCACTTTCTCTCTCCAAAAGGCTCCTGGGCTAGCCTGCCTTTCTGGAAACCATGGTCTTCCACCCATAGCATAACTCCGTGACCCTGCCCCTCTGGGTGCTCCTTGGTAAGATGAGGGTAACAAGAGCATCTAAACTCCAGATTGATGAGAGTGAAATGAGGTGATGGGTACCACTGAATGTCTCCGAGACCACACCAAGCAGCCTGCCAGTGGTTACTTCAGAATTTAGGTTACAGTACAGATTACCTGTCCTGCTCAGTGACAGATTTCGACACTGGAAGTTTTGTTTTCCTGCCTCTAAAGAGGCAAGAGTACAGAGTAAAGGCACAGTAGTCTAGGACTTTGTCCCCAGAGCACATACCTTCTTGCTCCATAGCTATGGTCAAGATATTTTACATTTACCTGGAGCTTCCTATAGAAGGAATTTAAGTTCCCACTCAGTGTTTGTTCTTCAGCCCTATTTCATTCCAGGCAAACACAAAAATATGTAGCCTTCAAGTCAGCCAGTGGAGTTTCCTGGGAAAAGTGTATGCCTATTAGACTGCAGATACCAAGATCCTGACTTGGTCACTACCTAAGGAGTTTTTAACCTGTGGGGGAAAAAAAGTGCTTAAGTGTGGTGACATACCTACATATGTGTTGGTGATAATCCCAGCACACAAGAGGCTGGAGCAGGAGGGCTAAGGATTTTAAGCCAGCCTATGGTATGTTTACAGCTCATAAACAAGATGTGTTAGTGCTTAGCATGGTATCCAGCACATAGGAAGTCCTTATTGAATCATTGCTATTATCAAAAGCAAATCAGCAAATGTGTGGTTAGTATTTGGTGACAACAAATGCTTCCAAGACAAAGAGGTAAGCAGGCTGAAGAGTGGAAAGACCTTTTACATATGTGCTGGGAGTCTTTTCCCTAGTTAGGTGCATTTGCATAGATGTACCAGGACAGTCAGGGGATGTATGGGTAAAGCACTTTCCAGATAAGGAACACAAAGTGGCCAGAGGAGGACATTCATGCACTTAACTGTAGAGGGCACCCCAGAGCCTGGACATGCTAAGGACACTTTCAGGGGAAGGCCAAAGCCTGGTTGATCATGGCAGGTTTTGGATTTTGCTGCCATCAAAGAGAATCATCTCTAGGCTGTTTTCAGTAGGGAGTGACATGGCATCCAGTTTGACTGTAGAATGGTTTCATCCGGTGCGAGTGCCCATGATAGATTACCAAGGGACAAGGACAAAGGGGATGCTATTGCTAGAATTCTGGCAAAACTATGGTGAGAGTCTGTGGTGGGGCGGTGCCTCAGATGTGTTTCTAGGACACAGAAGACATGGTGACGGTGTCCTCTGAATGGCATGGAGGGCTGCCACTCATTACACGTGAGCACCTCTGTGGACTTAAATGGAGGTGTGGGGTTCTCCCGTGATGCTGCGAACATAGAGATGTGTCTGGTGAGTTAGCAAAGCAGCACATTCCTCTAGGCTGATGTGACACACTCAGCACAGGGCAAGGCTTGGAGGGCGCTCTTTGTCATGGGCTTAACAGTTAGAGAAATACAGATGACGCCAGGGTGCCTGCCACCTGAGATAGCAAGGCTGCAGGCAGAGCAGGTTCTGGGAAGGAAATGCAGGATTCAGTGGGTAGCACTGAGACACTCCAGTGCAAATACCACAGGGAGGTTGGACCTGTATCCTTAGAAATCAAGGGAGACTGTTGGGACAGGGATATAAATAGGGATTTGTTACCATATGACTTACACATGTTACATATATAATATACTTTTCATATGTACAGATTATTGAAATCATTAACAAAGATAATAAAATGAGAATATTTTATTTTTTTAACTTATCAGTACTCTTAATTCTTATGGATTCTTTCCAACTTAGTTTTTGTTACTGTTGTTAAATCTATACTCAGGGTAAAGAATATTTAAGTTAGTTTTAGGAAGATAAGGTAAATTAAGCACATACACTTAATACCTGTTAATTCTGGAAATAACCACTATTATTGGTTTCTTTGGTACCCTGAATTTTTTCTTGTGACTATAGAAGTAAATATGCACACATACATCTCCTTTTTTATATAAAAGAGGCCATGCTAAATATATTGCCTGCAACTTAGTTTCTAAAAAACCCTTTTTGGATACTGGCATATCACCCTCCACAAAAGTCACAGCAGCCTACACACCACCAGAGGGTCTAAGGTTGCCCTTTTCCCCCCATGATCTTAATGATAATGGGTGTGTCCAAGCTCTTCATTCACTATCCAGGTTGTTGTAAAATAGTGCTCTAAACATTTTATGTAGGTTTTCATCTGTCTATTGGTACTTATACTTCTTTTTTTTCCCACCGTGAGCTGCTTTTTCAGGTCCTTTGAACACTCCTGGTTTCCAAAAGTTCCTCTTATATTAAGGAAATTAACCCTTTGTGTGAAGTCTTTTGCAAGTACGTGGTACCGTGAGGGACAGTACAGCGAAACAGAGATGCCATCCACAAAAGAGGCTCTTTGACGTCTAAAGACACCGGACGGACCTTCCCCGTTTCTTTCTTGTCTCTCCAACCCCAGATAGCCCACCCCCTTCTCTCTTTTATTTTCAAGATCCTTTGCTTATGTGGGGGGGGGGAGGGAGTAATATTTTTTTCCTTTGTAGACTAAATTAAAAGGCTCAGACTTTTTATCTTGTTTTTAGCAGTATACAGTCCAGGACATCATAATAGATTCGAACTTGGCCCTGACCCATGTCCAATATTTCCCTAAATTGGTTCTGTGGCTTCATTTTGATCAATGGAAGAAATAAAGAGGAATGAAGGGTGTCCACTGCATATCAGCTGGTGCAGTTTATCTCTTCATCTTTGTGGCATTCCCAGGAGGCAGCTTTTATTGTTCTCAGTTTACAGATGAGGAAACGATACTCTAAGTGAATTAAGGAACTCACCTGTACTCTTGTGGTTACTAATCAGTCACATGATGGGCTGTGAGGGAAGGTTTGCCTGCCTGGATTGAATTACAGAGTCCTTAAGGTTTCCAGTAATTTCCCCCTAGCTTTATTAACAGAAAAGATCCTGAAAATGTTCTCCCACTGTCCATCGATGTGTTTAGGACTCTGCTGGTAGATGAACGTATAATTCACACAGCCATTTGTCTCTATTAGATCATTATGTTGGTAGATCTAATAACCATGCACTGATGGATGTGGTGCCTTTGAGCAAATCAGTTGACAAGGGAGAGAAAAAAAAAAAAAAAGGCCTTTATATGCAGCCAGAGGCTTCTGTTTGCTTCAGTTTGCTGGCTGCAGATTCCATCCCAAGTGTTATTCTGATGGGCTATTTTATTTGTTTATTTATTCTTCTCTCATATATTACATCGCAACCACACTTTCTCCTTCCTCCTCTCCCCCCAGTCCCTCCCACCCCCCCACCCTACAATTTCCCGGCCTCCCAGGGACATCAACCAGATGTGGCATATCGAGGTGCAATAGGACCAGTACCTCCGCTCAGCGGTCAGCCGCTCCAGAAGCTCAACCCCTCAGGCCCATGCCATGGGGTTTGAGGCAAATGAGAGTGCTATTTTCGGCTTTCTTCTTTCAGGCCTACAATGGGCACCACCAAGCCTTGGAGGTCCTTCTCCAATCACTGGTGGACCTGGACATCAGGGACGAGAAAGGTCGCACGGCTTTGTATCTCGCTGCTTTCAGGGGCCACACAGAATGTGTAGAAGCACTTGTTAACCAGGGCGCCTCCATCTTTGTGAAAGACAATGTCACCCAAAGAACTCCACTTCATGCCTCAGGTAGGTCTCCCCAAAGGTCCATTTATTTCACATACAGGTATAAATAAAAGGATAAAACAGGTGAGGTGCAGAAACTGCTGATCTGAGCAAGTGGGAGTTCATGGACCCCAGTCTGACAGCTGGGGAACCAACATAGGACGGAACCAGGCCCCCCTGAATGTGGGTGTCAGGAGCACTGGGCAGTCTATGGCAGTGAAGCAGTATTTATCTCTAGTTTACGAATGGACTTGGGGAGCCTGTTCTCCATAGAGGGATATTCTCTCAGCCTAGACACATGGGAGGACCTAGGGCCTGCTCCAAATGATGTGACAGACTTTGATGATCCCCCATGGAAGGCCTCACCCTTTCTATGGAGCAGAAGAAGGATGGGATGGGGGTCAGTGAAGGGCATGGGAGGATGGGAGGGAACTGGGATTGATATATAAAATAAGATTGTTCCTAATTTAAATAATAATAATAATAAAACAGGTGAGGTGGCTCAGCAGATAAAGATACTTGCCACCAGGCCTGATTGACCAGAGTTCAATCCTTGGAACTTCTGCAGGTTATCCTCTGTCATCCAAATGCATAGAGCACAGTTCACCCCAATAAATAAAATTAATAAGCTAAAAAAAGATTTTAAAAGGATAATAGCTGGGGTTGTAGCTGAGAGGGAAAGCATGTGCCTAGCATGTACCAGGCCCTAGGCTCACCTCTCCCACCCCACCCCCATCCTCCCCCACCACACCCCATCCTCCCCCACCCCTAGTAAAGGACAGCAGCATCTTCTTCCATCCCAATTTTTAACACCTCAGTTTTATTTCTGCACCTTGTATACCTGAAGGCTTCCAAAATGCTTTTGATCTGCTTTCTCCTTAGACATAATTGGTGCTTTATATCCTTCCTAAAGAAAGGGCTTAAGAGCCTTAAACTTCTGAGCAAGGGACAAATTATACTGTGATCTTTAGAGTCAGCTAGATGGAACAAGCCACATCAGAATCATAAAGCAGTTGAAAGCTTGGCTTTAACGATATTTTAGGACTGTTTTGTCAAGGCAATTGCAGACAATGAGCTAATAAACACATCATTCTGTCAGCCTACACGGTACTTCTTTGCTTAGCTTTTGCTTTTGCTTTTGATGCATCTGATATCAAAACAGAAACAAGTACCTATACACAGCATTCAGCAAGTAATGTAACTTTTCCTGGAATGTTTTGGGACATGTCCAAATGTGCACAGATGTGAAGACAATGTAAGAGAATCTCTGGCCCAACCAACACATAAGTACCTTTCAGTTCAGGCAATTCCGTGGCGTTAGCCCTTGAAGGGCAATGCACATCTTCTAAAGAGGGAAGTGGGTGGTCTCATTAAGGAAGTGAGGAATTAGGACACATTTTCAGAAGTTGTGTATGATTCTCATTACATGGAATTTTTCTAGGAACTCTAGACAGTTAGGTATATTTTTGTCAGAGCTGGTAGGAGAACTCAGTAGGTAAAGATCCTTACTGCCAAGTCTGATGGCCTGAATTTGATCACTGGGATCCACTGTCAGAAGAGAGAACTGACTCCTGCAAGTAGTCCTTGGATCTCTATATGCATTCCTTGACAAGCACACAACAAGATAAATACAAATGTAATTAAAAAAAAAGTACATGTCTATCAATTTCCCTTAATACCCAAGCCACAGAACAGACACAATACAGAGACACAGAAGCCTACCTGTTGCCTAATTATCTGGCAACAGTTATCTCTGGGAAAGACCAGTGATGGCTGGTTTAGCCAATAATTTTTTTGTTTTCCCACCAGTGTTTTTGCTTCGTAAGTGTTGCTTGGTATTATTGTCAAAATCAAATTTGCTCTTTTTAAAGATTTGTTGCCTTTACCAACATCCACTTTATTAATATGCAATCCCCAACAATTGCCAATGGCCTGGTTTGATTGTGGAAGACCGCCCTTAAAACTGGTGAATGAATAATGAAAGACCAGCCTCACCCATTTGCTACCGTGATATAGGTGTGGTCCAAGGGTGCCCCCTAGTGGTCAAGAAGACTCACTCTGGCTTTCCCTTGTGCCATTCATTAAAAAGAGGGTCTGTCATTTGACTATTTCCCACAAAATGTCTGCTGTGCCATAGCTTCAACCTGAGATTTGAGAATCAACTTAGCCAGAATTTTTTCCCCCTATCTGGAACCCACACTCCCACCAAAAAAATTAATGTGTGTGTGTGAGAGTGTGAGTGAGAATTCCTTGTTTTCAGTTTATTTGGGAGGCCAGTTCCTTTGTTTCAGACCCTTGGAGTACTGGGAGGAGAGGCAGCCAGAATGAACATCGGAGGGTTTAGCACGAATAAATACAGTAACAGATGTGGCCTTTGAGCCTCGTGAAAAATGGCTGCCGTTCATAGCTGGGAGAGGCTGAGCCAGTCTAACAGAGAGCTGGAGATGGCAGGGCACAGATAAAGATGCTGGTGTTTCTTTGCTAGAAGGTAGTCTGGGGAGAATATAGTGAGTGGGAGCCTAAGGAGAATGGAGCTTTGTTACTCTAAGGGGGACTTAGATTCTCCCGGGGACCGTGAGCTAAGCACAAATAGCTACAGTGGAGAGGCAGAAGCCCACTGTAGACGATTCTGCCATGTGACACTGGGTGAAGCATTATGAACCCACATATTCTTTTTATGTTTAGACAAAAATGAAATATCCTTGGAGTGATTCTGAGCATTGAAGAATCAAACTGATACAAAAAGAAAAGCCAAGATTTGTTGTTTCCACCCCCTGAACCCATTGCTGAGGAGATTTAGCTGTCAGTCTTATGCCAATCTTTTCCTTTTAGGCATACATTAAACTCCCTGCAAATTTCAGCAGGATAGCAGGCTTTTGTGTCATTTTAAGAACAACAACAGCAACAGCAGCAATAAAGTGTTACCTGGAACTCTAGTACACACACACACACACACATACACACACACACACACACACACACACATTTGCATGCTGAGAACAGGCTGAATGCTATGGCTTACAAAATGTGGGCATTGTTCCTGATGTTCATTTGAATGCTGCTGGTGAATGTGAGCTAATTCTAATATATGTTGTTCCAGAACTGTGTGGAAATCAAATTATCATTCTTTGGTGACTGGAAAGCAGCCCCAAGAGGGGCATTTATCAACCCAACATAAGTACACTTATGCCCTTCTCTCACCACATCCAGAGCAAGGGAAGTCCAATGTCCTTTATGGTGTCCTTATTGTTCCGAGAGGAAGCCATGTGTGGAATGCTAAGGATAGTCATCTTCTTATTCCCCGAGTGGGATTCCATGATCGCTGTAAGGCTTTTTGAAGTGTCCATTCACTGCACCAGAGGAAACGCCTTATTCTAGGGGAGGGGTCTGTCATCCCATGAGGTCTGCTCTCCAGCGCCCCTCATACTCACTCAGGCACTTCTTTCTTCTAAAGGGGCATCTTTAGTTCTGCACACGGGCACGTCCTGGTACCCTTTCCCCAGCTGTGTAAGGAAGCATGGCCCTGGGGTTACACTTCCTCTCTTGTCTACTGCTGGGTACTTGGACAGGTAAAGTCCAGCAGCCCTAACTAGAGACCTCTGAGTCCTCACTCAGCATCAGCAGGGCGAGGATGGAAGGGGAAGTGGGGACAGCAGCTGCTGTCACATCTCTAGCAGGAGAGAAGGGAACACCAGGGCTTCCTATCCTGGCTTGGTGTTTCACAGTCAGACACCACTAGTCAATGAGAAGTGTTGCTCAAATATCAGACGTAGAACTCACTGACCAGAAGAGCAGGGACCATTCTGTTCTCCATCCTTCTCTCCTTTTCCCTCTCTTCTCAATTCCTCTGATCCCTGCTCTCTTCTCCTTTTTAACAAGGGCTAGAGTGGGGCTTGACGCGGGATTGTTATATGGAAGTGGAGTGCCTCTCAATGGGACTGGCGTGTGGGGATACTTATCAGCCCTAAACAAGGAGATGAGAAAGGACATCAGATTTAAGAAAAACTTCCTTAATACTGGAAACAGAAAAGGAAGGTGGAGATCAAAGTGTGCAGACAAGAAAAAAGGGGAAAATGGGCTTCCACCAAGCCAGGCCACCTGGGCTCTCTGGAGCTGGAAATCAGGGCTACCTGTTAGCAGCAGTGGGCTTGAAGTCCACAGAATTTTCACCTTGGAGTGCTGGCTTTTCAAAAGAGTGCCCATCATTTTCTTTTTCAGTTGTTAACGGCCACACGCTGTGTTTGAGACTACTACTCGAAATAGCAGACAACCCGGAAGTGGTTGACGTGAAAGATGCCAAGGGACAGTAAGTGTTTTAGTGTTGGACTTCTGTTCTGCTATTGTGTCTGTCACAAGAGCTTTTTGGGTGGTGTGCTGAGCAGTGAAGAAGGCTGGCTGCTGAATTCTAGGATAGGAGAAAGACATCTCTGTGAAACTCATAGGTCAGGAGCCTAGAACAGGGAGGCATCACCACCAGAGCATACATTTAAGCATTCGTTGTGTGTATATCTTAATGACAGCAAGCACCTTTGTACCCCGGCTGTAGCCACATTTCCTGGTTTTTAATATTTCTTATTTCTTCCCATCTTTGACTTATAAAGCTGCCATTTCCCCACTTTTAAATTAATAATGGCAAAAGGGCAGACCTCAAGAGTTTGTCTGTGTTTTGAAATAAAAAAAAAAAAATCTTCAGCGTGTATCCTCTTCCTGCTTTTGCTTCTCTATCTGTTGGCCTGTCCTTCACCCAGGCTCTTCTTACAAATAGGAAGTGCAGACAGAAAGACTGTAGTAGCTAGCCCCGGGTGAATGGGCTTGAGTTAGTGAGAGCGGGACCCTGTCTTTCTTCTACACTAGTCAGACTTATTTTCAAAGTGAGGAAGCTCTGTCCGTGGAGGTAAGTCTTGAGCCGAGTTCAACACTGGTTGCTGTCACAGGAGCAGGGGACTCTTCTGCATGCACACATCCCCCAGCCAGCTGGCACCTAGTGATGGCCACACCGTTTTGAAAAGGGTAAAATTAATGTGACTACTTGAGATGAGACTGTGCCCTGTACTGCCCTGGGCCTATGTGTCCTGCCACCCATTCCATGAGGCCCTTAGAGCAGAGTCAGAGCTCTTGTTCTCCATGGCATAGAATAGTAAATTAGGTACACAGAGAATATTGGGCAGTTACTAAGAATAGAGAGAAAACTCTCCTCTTACTGGAAGTAATTTTGTTTGTTTGTTTATTTTTTTGTTTTTGTTTTGGAGGGGGCAGGGTTTCTCTATATTGCTTTGGAGCCTGTCCTGGAACTCACTCTGTAGACCAGGCTGGCCTCGAACTCACAGAGATCCTCCTGCCTCTGCCTCCTAAGTGCTGGGATTAAAGGCATGCACCATCATTGCCTGGCTTGGAAGAGGTTTTTAACCTTCCTGTTTTTCTTCCCCTAGAACTCCTCTGATGCTTGCGGTAGCATATGGGCACCTCGATGCTGTCTCCTTGTTACTTGAAAAGGAAGCAAATGTAGATGCTGTTGACATAGTGGGATGCACAGCTTTGCATAGAGGGGTATGTGCACCTTTCCCAGCTTCAGTCAAGCACCTGTTCCATGAACTTGCTTTGTTTTTTCCTACATGAGGTCTTAGAGGAAAAGACTTGTTTCATAATATAGTCAATTAGCTTCACAGTCAAAATGAAATTACAGTATTTTATACAAATGATGGAATAATGAAAGCTACAGTTAGGTTCTGCTGTAAGACTTTGTGTTTGGTTATGATAATAGACACATGAATATCCTTTCTGGTTACAAAATTCATATCACAGAAAGCTTACAAGACATGTTTTTAAGTGCAGAAAAAGAGAAAAACACAATCACCAGTAATCAGACCTCCTGGTGATAATTATATTTGATACATATACATACATACAAATCCTACACATACACAAATATACACATGTACACATATACACGAATATACATACATAAGCACATATATATAAATACACATATGCACACATGTGATATATGTTACTTATGACTTATTAAAGCTTGCCTGATGGTCAGATAAGCAAAGCAGCCAGCTACTAGTTCTTAGCTCTACATCAGAGTGAAAGGGTGATCTGGCTAGCTCCACAACTACAATCCTAGACTGCTGCCTCTCCTCAACCTGGCTGGAGAATAAATCTTCACACGAGACCCTTTGGTTCTTCCTTTTATACCTTCTAATGTCGGGATTAAAGGCTGTGAACCCAAGTGCTGAGATCACTTTGTGTGAGCTGTTTCTCTTTAGGACCAGATCAGTTTCATGTAGTTTGGTATGGCTTTGAATTAACAAAGATCCATCTCCATGTCTTCTGAGTCCTGGGGTTAAAGGTATGTGCCCCTACCTCCCAGCTCTAAGGCTAGCTAGTATGGCTACTAGGATTAAAGGTGTGTATCACTATTGCCTGACCTCTATGGCTTGTGACTAGCCTTGCTTTCTGAACCCTCAGGCAAGCTTTCATAAACCATAAGTAATATATCACCACACCATATACCCAAACACAGATACACACATACATACATCCAAATACACACATACATACATATACACACATATACACATATATACACACATATACACATGCACACATACACTCACGCTCACATAATATGGTCTTTTTTTTTTTCTCTTAGTATATATAAAGAACCATTTTCCATGCCATTAAATATTTTTCTGCCTGGTCCTCTCTAGTGACCCATTGTGTGTAGATGTCACAATAAATTCAGTGATTACTTGGTTTTGAGCAGTCATTCTATTTCTGTTGCCCTTTGTGATAAACGATGGCAATGCATGTATCCTGTGGCCAATTCTTTGTACACATATGCTGAATTGTTCTTTTTCTTGAAGGACAAAAACAAGCTAAATGGACAAAAAGGTAAAAATCATAAAGTTGCTATGTGGAGGCGGTGTGAACACCCTCATAAGTGACGAGACGAATTTCCCGTGGTTATTGACATAATCACAGTTCTTATTTCTTGTCACTTCTTTTAGGAAACTTTACATACACACGTCCATCAGTGACAGCCTGCACATACAACAGTGATCTCATACACTTACAATGAGCAGAAGAGATCCCTTTCATGTAGAACTTTGCCGTCCAGATACACAAATACTTGCCACAGTGTTGTGACCTCCCCAGCAGGGAAGCATGCTGTGCATGTTAGCCTCGGATTGTCAGGCTCTACTAGCCCGACAGGATAATAGGCTATGATTTCTAGCTCTGTGTAGAGACACTCTGTGATATTTCCAGAGTATACCCTGCCCCCAATGTGTCATGTGACTGTATCATCTCCTTTATACTGAGCGGCCTGTGAGGTTATTGTTTTTCTGCCCATCCACAGGTGAATGAAGTCAGTCAGACAGGGGCAGACTGATGTATGTCTGACAGGGGTGGCCTGCCAGGATTTAATATTCTCCTTGATTCTGAAGCTGGTATCTTCTACCATAGCATGATACCTTCCGTGGTTACGTTTGGGTGGACAGTTCCAAAATAGCTTCTCATGGGCTTTGCACGCCACTGCACTGGTAGGAATTTCCCTAGAGTTGTTCTGCCTCCTGCTCGGCAGCAAAGCAGTCTGCTCCTCTTAGGCCAGGCAGGTAAGGCCTTCTGCTCTCAGCGGGGTCATCCCCAGCCAACTGAGGTTTGTTTTGTGTTTTCATTGCAATGTGCCAGATCATGACAGGACACGAGGAGTGTGTGCAAATGCTGTTGGAGCAAGAAGCGTCAATCCTCTGTAAAGATTCCAGAGGGAGGACGCCCCTGCACTATGCGGCTGCTCGGGGCCATGCCACATGGCTGAGTGAGCTGCTCCAGATCGCCCTTTCTGAGGAGGACTGTTGCCTCAAAGACAACCAGGGCTACACGCCACTGCACTGGGCTTGTTACAACGGTGAGTTGCATGTCATCTGAATGATTCCACTAGACTGTCTCACCTCGCACCTCTGTGACCTCAGCAGAGGTGAGAACATTGCTGTGTACTGTGGTTTCCAGGGTCTGCGTACCCCAGACATGGCCTTTGTCTGTCTTTGGTGGCTTTAAACAGATCCCTCATCCCCACCCCAAGGCTATCATGATGCCTTGACTGGGTCAAAGTTAGCTTTCTTTTTCTGTGATATAGAACCCCTCATCACAATCAACAATGGTCTTGAGCAATTGTAATCAGAGCTTCTGGTCAATATCAGACAACCAGGAATCACATGAAGTATGAAAACAGTAAAGGCAAAAACAAAGTACCATATGCACTCTAGTTCCTGTCACAAGCGGACACCAGTGCATGTGTAGCTTATCTTTGGGTCTTTCTTTCTTTCTTTCTTTCTTTCTTTCTTTCTTTCTTTCTTTCTTTCTTTCTTCCTTTCTTTCTTTCTTTTAAAATTTATTTTATATAACAAAGTCCAATTAAATGAAAACAAACATTTATATACAATTTTTGGGAATTTGGGCGTTGTTCTTTCCAGACTACTTCCTGCTGGTAAGGGGCAATGTCATGGGGGATTTGAAGAAGATTCAGATATCCTAGCTGTAGTCTGTAGGGCTGTTTTGTCCAGCTGTTTAGAATGTAGGATCACCTTGTACTCTGTTTCAGGTGGTCTGGCGTGATCAAACCACATTAGTCTGGAAGGAATCCACATCTTTTCATTTTCTGTGGAAACAAAAATAAAAATCCTTTTCCCCAGTAACTTGTCCTTCAACTTAAATTTTGGAGTCAAAGCATTTTTTTAATTTAATTTATTATTTTACATGTCTATCCCAGTTCTCTCTCCCTCCCTCCTTCCCTCGCTCCCTTCTTCCCTCCCTCCCTCCTTCCCTCCCTTTTACCCTTTCTGCCCTCTCACATACAATCTAACCACCCTCCCCTCCCATCCCCCCACCCCAATTCCATATGTAGGGGAATGCCATCCAGTTGGGGTCATGTAGATCTGACAGGTCATGTGAAGTAGGGACTAGGGCTTCTCTCCTATCTCTAGATTAAGGCAGTTATCCCTCCATGGGGGATATGTTTGCAAAGTCCTTTTGTGCACCAGGGATACATCCTGGCTCCACTGTCTGAGGTCTCTTAGACTGCTCAGTCCTTCTGGCTGAGACCCATATTCGGGGGGGGGTGTTCTGAGTCAGTCCCATGCTGGCTTCCCAGCTATCAGTCTAGTGGCTGTTAGCTCCTCCTTGTTCAGGTAAGCTGTCTGTATGTGTTTCTGCCGCATGGTCTTGTCCTCTCCATCTGCATCTGGGTTCTAGTTCGACTCAGTGTTTATGTATGGGTGTTTGATCCTGTTTCCAACAGGCATTAGTTGAGGGCTCCATGGAGAAGTTAGTTATTGATCTCACTCTCCGGGAAGGGCATTTATGATAGCCTTTCCACGGAAGCTGAGATTGTTAGTTGAGAGCAGTCTTGTAGTTCTCTCGACCTTTCTTTGTGTTCAATTTTATCTTCAAACCAATATTGGCTCCCTCTTTTATGTTCTCTCTCTCTGTCTCTGTCTCTCTCTCTCTCTCTCTCTCTTTCCTGTCTTCTATTCCTAACCAGGCTCAATCTTCCTGGTCGCACATGTTTTCCTTTCCTCCCCCTCGTTTTCTCCTACTTCTCTCTCCATTTGCTGCCCCCCCCCACTTCCCCTGAGCTCTGGGGGACTTGTCCCTTCCCAGTTCTGTGAGGGACTTTATATGAATCTCTTAGAATACACCTTGTATCCTAGTTCCTCTGGTGGTGTGAATTATAGGCTGGTGATCCTTTGATCTAGGTCTAAAATCCATATATGAGTGAGTACATACTGTGTTCCTCTTTTTGTGACTGGGTTATCTCATTCAGGATGGTTTCTTCAAGTGCCATCCACTTGCCTGCGAATTTCAAGATACCATTATTTTTTTCTGCAGAGTAGTATTCCATTGTGTAGATGTGCCACATCTTCATTAACCATTCTTCAATTGAGGGGCATCTAGGTTGCTTCCAGGTTCTTGCTATTACAAATAGTGCTGCTATGAACATAGTTGAACAGATGTCTTTGTTGCATGGATGTGAATCCTTTGGGCATATGCCTAAGAGGGGGATTGCCGGGTCCTGTGGTAAACTAATTCCCATTTTCCTGAGGAACCACCATACTGCTCTCCAAAATGGCTGTGTGAGTTTGCACTCCCACCAGCAGTGGAGGAGTGTTCTACTTTCTCCACATCCTCTCCAACATAAGTCATCACTGGTGTTTCTAATTCATTCTAATTCATGGCAGGGGTAAGATGGTATCTCAAAGTTGTTTTGATTTGCATTTCCCTGATAGCTAAGGATGTGGAGCATTTTCTTAAGTGTCTTTCAGCCTTTTTGATTTCCTCCATTGAGAATTCTTTTCTTCAGTTCTGTACCCCATTTTTTAATAGGGTTATTTGGTGTTTTGTTGACTAGTTTCTTGAGTTCTTTGTATATTTTGGAGATCAGCCCTTTGTCGAATATAGGATTGGTGAAAATCTTTTCCCAGTCTGTGGGCTGCCGTTTGGTCTTGTCCATTGTGTCCTTTGCCTTACAGAAGCTTCTAAGTTTGAAGACGTCCCATTTATTAATTGTCGATCTCAGTGTTGTGCCCCTGGAGTTCCCTGGTAGAGTTTATTGGGTCGCTTATGTAAACTATCATATCATCTGCAAATAGAGACAGTTTGACTTCTTCCTTTCCAATTTGGATCCCCTTGATCTCCTTTTGTTGTCTTATAGCATTAGCTAGAACTTATAGTATGATATTGAAGAGATATGGAGAGAGAGGGCAGCCTTGTCTTGTTCCTGATTTAGAGGAATCGCCTTAAGTTTCTCTCCATTCAGTTTGATGTTGGCAGTTGGTTTGCTGTATATTGCTCTTATTATGTTTAGGTATGTTCCTGTTATCCCTGACCTCTCCAAGACCTTTATCATGAAAGGGTGTTGAATTTTGTTGAAGGCTTTTTCCGCATCTAGGAAGCGGTCTCCTATACCAATTTGTTCAAGGGTACCTCCTACTTTCTCTTCTAAGAGGTTCAATGTTGCTGGATTGATGTTGAGGTCTTTGATCCATTTGGACTTGAGTTTTGTGCATGGCGACAGACATGGGTCTATCTGCAGTCTTCTACACACCCTCATCCAATTGTTCCAGCACCATTTGTTGAAGATGCTGTCCTCGCCCCATTGTATAATTTTAGCTCTTTTGTCGAAAATCAGGTGTCATAGGTGTGTGGGTTAATATCAGGATTTTCAATTCGATTCCATTGGTCTACCTGTCTATTTTTATGCCAATACCAGGCTGTTTTCAGAACTATAGCTCTGTAATAGAGCTTAAAGTCAGGAATGGTGATGGTGGTCAAAGATCAGGCTCCAGTAGAGGCCCGGCAATGGGTGTCAAAGATTCAGCAGATAGGGACTCAGGATGGTCCTAACAGGATAGGCGGATCCCTGGGAGGGGCACAGAAATCCAGCAGAGAACTCTAGCAGAGGCCTATTGATGGGGGGCAGGCAGGGACTTAGGATGTTCTTGGGTGGATAGGCTGATCTGGGGGGGGGGTGTTGGCCAGCACTCTCCAGCTGAGGCCTCTGGCAGAGGCCAGGTGATAGGGGTCAAAGATCCTGCAGGCAGGGACTCAGGATGGCCCCCACACGGACAGGCAGATCTCATGGAGGGGCCCGGGACTCCAGCAGAGGACCAGTGGTGGGGGTCAGAGATCAGGCATTTGAGGATTCCGGGTGGTCCTGCTTGGATAGGCAGGTCTAGTGTGCTCAGAATAGCTCCATGTAGTTCCCCAAATGAGGCAGGATTGTCCCAGTGCTCAACCAGAGCTATGGGACAGTCAGCAGGGTAGGGGGAGGGCAGGCTCTTCGTGGGGGTGGGAGGGTGTGTATCAGAGCACCAGGAGTGCTCTCACTGGGGACAGGACACAAGGGGGAGCAAGATTGGGGCCAATCCAGGGAGTTCTCAGGGAAGGGTGTTGGGGGGATTCAACTGGAATTGGTTCCAGACTCACCTCTAGCAGAGGCCTGACAATGGGGGGAGGCAGGGACTCAGGATGTTCCCAGGTAGATAGGCGGATGTAGCAGGGGCCCAGCGATGGGGGTCAAGGATCCTGCAGTCAGGGACTCCCCCAAACCCACTTTCTGATATAATTTTGTATGTATGTCTCATAATTTTTTCTCTGAGATTATAAATAAATACAAATATACATATGTACATATATATATATATATATATATATACTTTAAGTAGAATTATATGACAAGTATCATAGTTTTCTTTTTATTTATGCTTCCTTAAACTCACATCACAGGCTATCATCATATGTACCATATGATGCAACACATGATACACATCAATAAATAATTCTAATAATTATATACTAATAGCTATACATACACTCTTCAGAAGGTATTGTTTATTTAACCAGATCCCCCTTGTAATGGACATTCAGATGAATTTTAGTTTTTTTCTCCCTTGTAATGGACATTCAGATGAATTTTAGTTTTTTTCTCCCTTGTAATGGACATTCAGATGAATTTTAGTTTTTTTCCTATTAGGAACACTGTGGCAATATGTGTGTTCGTATTTTAGCATGAAAACTCTCATTAAATATCCAGAAGTGATATTTTTTAAAAGCATGTGTTTAAATTGTAAGGAGTATTGCCCAAAACACTGCTATAGTGCATTTAAAATTATTTTTCCCACAACTTTGCCAGCCCAGAGTGATTCTACCTCTCTTTATTTTTGCAAAGAGCAAGGGTTAAAACTTGTGTCTCTGCATTTGCCAACCCAAAGCCGTATTTATTGGCTGTTGTCCCCTCTCTGAAAGTGGCCTCCTCTATCCACATTTGCTTTCTCTTGCTGAAGAGCTTATGAATTCTCCCATGTCTGCAAAAGCAGGGTATCTTAGCTGTGTCAGTGTTCTGCATAGTGTGCTGAAGGTGCTTTTGTTCCGTGTTTTGAATGCCTTTTTCCATGAGGATGTTTCATGTTTTCATGTGGTTGTATCTTTTATGGTATCTTCATAGTCAGCCTTGCTTACGAAGATCTCATACCCTGTAAGACAATGGATATTTTCTACAACTATTTCTTACTTTACTTCTGTGACTTTAAATTTTCATTTCAGTTCCATTAGGATTTTTCTTAGGAAATTGTGATGATTACATCTGAAAAGAGTTTCTGTGCTCTAATAATGGTAATGTAAGACCTCTTGTGTCTTCATTAGCTTCTCTCTCATTGGTTCTGCCTTAATAACAACTTACTTTTGCTCCTCCTTTACCATGGTGGACTGTGGATTTTTTACCTAAAATAATTTTTTTGACCCGTGACTTGTCAAGAGAGCATCGACAACAGGAAAGGAAGGGCACAGAAGAATACTGGATGTGAGGGCAGACACAAGCTTGCCACAGCACACATTGTAGTCTCCCTAGGGTTGGGTTGCCTTTCTGCTATTGAGCCTTTCCAGGTGCAAGCAAAGGGGAGCACACTTCTCCCAAGCCATCAATCCACAGTTTTGGAATCCTAGAGCCATCTTCCTCCAGGTCGGAGGTTCAAGCTTCCAGAACCCCTTTCTTTGGGCAGTGTGAAATATGGGAAATAGTATGTCACTCTCCAGTTTCAGCTGTGCAGACACAGTCTCCCACTGAGGAATGGAACATGCAAGTGTTGTCCTAAATTGGTCCTCTGAGGGAGTCATGCTATATAGAGGCTAAGATGTCTAGGACCACTGAGCGATAGTTGTTTGCAAATGGAAAGCTGGACAATATCACTTACTTGATAGGGGTAACTCATGCTTCTCATTTCTAAAAGCATTACCAACTTGTGTCTTTATATGTAAGGAAGGTTTATTTTTATTTCTTCTTCTTATTATTATTTTGTACTTTACTATTTGAAACTGGGAACTTTGACTAAATCAGCCCTGAGGTTAGTCAAGAATAGGTTCTGGGACACTGATCTGGGATAAAGCAAAATGGCAATGCCTCCATGCCCTAGAATTGAACAGCATGTCTAAAGCATGCTTAGGCCTTTTTTAAAGTTCCCCTCATCTCATGACATGGGCAAGATGAGTATTCCTAGGCCAACTGTGAATATGTACAGGAAACCGAGGCTCAAAGTGCCACAAATAAATTGTCTCGGGTCATGTAACAAATAAAATAGATGGTGCTGGCTAGTTTTATGTCAACTTGACACAAGCTAGAGTCATTTGGGAAGAGAGAACTTTAATTGAAAAAATGTTCCCACCCAACTGGCCTGTGGGCAACCCTATGCTAGATTTTCTTGATTAATAATTGCTATGGGAGGGCCCAACTCACTATGGGCAGTGGCATCACTCACTGGTTTGGTGCTCCCAGATGCTATAAGGAAGCAGGCTGAGGAAACCATGAGGAGTAAGCCAGTAAACAGCATCCTTCCATGGCCTTTCCTCCCATTCCTACCCCGACTTCCCTGGATGATGGACTTTGACAAGCTGTAAAATGAAATAAACTCTTTCCTTCCCAAGTTGCTTTTGATCATGGAGCTTTACTAACAGCAATAGACAGCCTAGTTAAGACAATGGCAGAAAGAGTTTAAAAGTCTCATGCCATTGCTGTTCACCATGATGCCTCACATTTACTCATGTGTTTACTTTAAAAAAAAAGAAAGAAACAACAATTAAAAAATGAAACAAAACAAAACAAAAACACTCATTGGGTGCCCATTGTGACCAGATACCATTAAAAACACTGCCATGGTATTTTATGTCCAGGGTCTTGCTGTTGCTGTTTCTTAGAAGGCACATGCCCCCTTCCTTCACTTGGGTGTGTAACTGTAAGTTAACCTATTTGTGTCGATGAAAGGAAAATTTCCCTATTATAAACGTGGGAAAATTGAGGTGTGCTTATGTTAGGTATCTATCAAGAGCTGAGGGTGACACAATCTATTCTACTTGTGAATGAGGTGACTTCTTTATCTCTCCCCACCAGGCCATATGGCCTTCACTGTTTGATTTGTTCATTATATCTCAGGACACCTGTGAGCATAGTTAATAACATTTTAGCATTTTGTTAATTTTATTCTGCAGAGAACGAGCATTTGTCCAGTTCAGGAAAATTCATATGCTAGAACCTAACACAATTTAAGAAACACCAGACCATGTTGAACAAAGTTTCTACCTAGGGACTCTCTAAATTTGTTTATCCTTTGCAGGCAATGAAAACTGCATAGAGGTACTTTTGGAGCAAAAATGTTTTCGAAAATTTATTGGCAATCCCTTCTCTCCTCTGCACTGTGCAATGTAAGTAGAAAGGTTGGGAATGTCATGATGCTACTTCTGTTCCTTTAACTGCAGATAGAAAATGTGCCTTTTATGAATGGAGAAAGCACTTAGATTGAAGATAAGACTAAAATATTCTATTTTGCTGCTAAAGACAAATAGGTCTGCTAGCAATGTGTGAGCTCTTGTGTTAATGATTCTCCAGAAGCTACAGTTCCAAGGTAACTCATATATTCCATGGTGGTGGACTGAGAGGCATGGTCCATAGAAGTAAAAAAAATCTTCAGTGGTATCCCCGATTTCCTGGCAAACTCTGTAAAATAAGTCAAGTTTAATACCAATATATCTGTAGCTGGTAAGGCATTTCCTAGTAGGAAGACTTTTCATATAAATCCTCATGTTCATCTTCTTTCTCCTCCCCCATCTTCATGCTTCTCTTTATTCTCCTCCTCCTTCTTTTAAAATGTAATTGTTATTGCAAGTTCATAGAGAGAAATAATATTCATAGAATGCAGTGGCCTTAGCTTGGAGTTCCATGAGTCAGCCTAGGTTGCAAGGCTTGGAAGTGTTTGACTTAACATTGTCTGGGGGCTTTCAGTGAAGCTAGATCATTTGACTGGAAAGATACTAGAGGCAGGAAAGAAAGGGTAGATGAGAAAGAATTAAGGTAATTTTAGGGTCTGAAGAGATGGCTCAGTGATTAAGAATACTTGCTTGTAGAGGACCCAGATTTGGTTTCCAGCACCCATCCATACCAGTTTCCTGGATCCAGTGCCATCTTCATACATCCTTGGGTACTAGGCATATGTGCAGTGCACATATATACATGCAAAAAAGGCACTGATATACATGAAGTAAAAATGGACAAATCTTTTAAAAATTTATTTATTTTATGTACATTGGTATTTTGCCTGCATGTATGTCTGTGTGAGGGTGTTTTATCCCCCTGGAACTTGAGTTACAGACAGTTGTGAGCTGCCATGTGGATGCTGGAAATTGAGCCTGGGTCCTCTGGAAGAGCTGTCAGTGCTCTTAACCCCTGGGATGTCTCTCCAGCCCCAAAATGGACAAACCTTAAAAATACTACAGGGTGAATTTATGTGCAAAGGATCTATGTCTTTTCCACTTTGGTGTCTTGACATCAGCTCCTTGGGACCTTGTGTGAGTGGTGTTCCAGGGGATCTCACAAACACAGAGGTCCTTACTGAAAGCAGCTGGAGATTTCAGTGTGTACTACTGCAGCATCTGATTTCTTAAATAGATATCAAATTGTTAAATATACCATGCATATAAAGATGGGGTGCGAAGGAATACATATTTTAATGAGATTTTACACTGAAATTTATTTTCATTTTAGAATAAATGGTCATGAGAATTGTGCGTCATTGCTGCTGGGGGCCATAGATTCCAGCATCGTCAGTTGTAGGGATGACAAAGGCAGGTGAGTGATGTAGAGGTGTCACACTTTTGGTCTTGAGTCCTGGCCTTTGATTCAGGTTGCAGAATAGTAAGCCATTTACTTTTATTTTATATACACTTGTTTTTGATAGTGCTAAGAATTGAATCCAAGGCCTTATATAAGCTTAGGCTGAGCTACAGCCCCAGCCTATTGTGTTTTAGAGACAAGAGTGTTGCTGTGTAGCTCAGGCTGGCCTTGAACTAGCTATGAGGCCCAGGCTAGCCCCAAACTCATGATCTTTCTGACTTCACCCTGCTGAGTGCTAGAATCCAGCCATGAATGATGCTTGCACAAAGGGGAAAATTTTAATTAAGAAAGTAGTGCATAGTATATTTTTATACCCTGGAGGTCTTTCCATACCAAACTATAAAGATTTACCTTGCATTTTAAAGCTACATGTTATTTCATTGAATAAATGCATAGCATGTTGCTTAGCCTGACTTCTTTAGAAGAATATTCATGTTGTTTTCAATATTCTGCTATTTCTAAGAAGTAGCACAGTGAATACTCATGTGTGAATCTGTTTATAGGGCTGAGTATATGGGAAATGGAGTCCTAGGACATGCAGTTACTTTATTAAGGCTAATGCTTTTTCCATTTTGATGAGTAATGTTAAGTTGTCCTTCCCAATAACTCCATCATCTGTATTAGATAATGTAGGCTTTTAAGGTTTTTGGTTAACCAGCCAATTACCTACAAATTAGCCCTTAATGTTAAAAGTATCTGTCTTGTAGATGAATGAGAACTCACTAGAAGTCAAGAATTAAAATGCTGGAATGGTGATATTTGCTTATCTGAGTCATTGCCTGAGCCTCCCCTCCCCCTAAAGTCATAAGGGGCACTGTATGTATAGGCCACCTTGAATGGTTCTAAGAAAGGATTTGGCCATCTTTTCTGCTGACCAAGAAGCTTTAAGCTTTTAGAGAGCATGCTCACATGCCTCTTGATAGTCACTGCAGACAAAGTTTTAAAGAGAATAAATCCGTGTGTGTTTGAAACCTTCAGGACAACCCTCCATGCGGCAGCCTTTGGTAATCACGCAGAGTGCTTGAAGCTGCTTCTGAGATATGATGCTCAAGTGGATGCCGTAGACAATTCAGGGAAAACAGCACTGATGATGGCCGCTGAGAACGGGCAGGCGGGTGCTGTGGGTATGTATTTACACTGTGGACTTTGTCCAAAAGTTGAAATGAGGTCAGGTAGAGATGCCAGTACCATTCTAGCATGGACATCTGAAAGGGGCCACCCAGTTTTACTTAAGTCATGTATGGGCTCAGTCATCTTCAGCTCTTTATAAGTGTGTCATTGGAAGACTAGAACAAAGTAAGAGAATCCTTGAGTACAATTTCTCAACATTTAGAAACAAAACATTTAAACAGAGTCATCTTGACTGTAAATACTGACACTGTACTTGGATTTAGCCCCAAAATCTGAGGAGTGGTGGGATGGTGAAACTCTGAGAACAGCTGGAAATATGCCCAACCAGCTTCTGTTTGAATGGAATAAATATGGCAACAAACTGTTCCTTCTTTACAAACATTAAATATGAGTGTGGGCTGTACCAATGTGAGTGTTGTTTTGTAGCCACAGTGAAATGCAGGCCTGGCATCCGGTCTAAGTGACTCTCTTGGTTTTGTCTTAGATATTTTGGTGAACAGTGCCCAGGCTGACCTAACTGTGAAGGATAAGGACTTGAATACTCCCTTGCACCTGGCTATCAATAAAGTATGTAATGGGTTTAAAATATTGCTGCTTACTGTTGCGATCATAGAATAATATCACAAGATCTCTGCCCCCTCCCAACCTATATAGCATGGCTTTAATTAAATTACTACTTCCCAGGATGCTGTCAACTCTCCGTGAAAATGAAGTGGAAGAAGGAAGGGGATGGATTATGGGTTGATGGATATGCCCCACTCATCAAAGTGAATGATGAGGATGTGTTTCATGCATTTGCTACTTGCAACCCTGCCACATTCCACCTGTCTCTGTATCTATTTCCCTGGCTGTAGTATCACATTTTGGTACCACACAACAGGTTAAGACACTAGTTATGTGGCTTCTAAACTCTAAGTAGTTTCCATTGAGTTCTGTTTGAAGACACTATCATACTGCTGCAAAGCAATAGCCTTGCTGTTTTCCCATGCATACATCAGTGCAAAATATATGGTAGACTTTTTTCTTTCATAAAAGATACATACAACTGCCAGTGTGTATGATTTTTATAAACTGCATTATATTATTAGGGCAGCTAACACCACTGGCATCAGAAGGCTCAGCCATTCCTCTCATTGGTTATATTTTTGTATTCATTCTCTGGGAAGAACATGGAAACAACAGAGTGCTCCGGGCCTGAAAGTTATGTCAAAGCACAGACTGTTAGTGATGGACACTACTGTGCATTTCGGACATCCTTATATAAAGGGATCACTTGAAAATGTCATCACAGCACAGATTCTGGTCAGGCATGGTGGTTCATGCCTCTAATTCCAGCACTCTAGAGACTGAGGTGGGAGGATCAGTAGTTCAAAGCTATCCTAGATTACACAGTAAGACCCTGTCAAGAAAAAAAAATGCATGTTCTTTATGAGGTCTAAATTGGCCTGATAGTTTCTTTCTATTTTTTGTTATAGACAGAATTTTACTGTCTCTGTGTTCCAGGGAGAGTCAACATTTCTAACTCCCAGATGATACTGATGATGGTGGCCTATGCCCTTAATTAGCAAAGACTTAGTAATCCATGACCCTAGACCTAATAATTGAATTTTCATTGTCAAGCATCTATTGTCATAAGGTCCAGAGATAGCTGTATTTTTGGGTTGAGGAAAAACATGCATACACTCCAGAAACAGGGCTTCTTCAGAGTATCAGACAGAAACGAAGATAAGTGACACATTCTTGGGTATCATGGCAACTCCAGGAGATAGATCACTGGAGTGGTAATTGAAGGTTTGGAGAAGGAGGAACCTGATGTATGTTTTAAAAGCAGTGTTGCAGGATTTAAAGGCTGTTGCTAACGCTGCTGCCTCCATCACTCACTGAGCTAGCTATGCTAGCATCTGCTTCCACTCTCTGAGCATCAATTTTAAAATGATCTTGGAAATATTAATATTAAGTATGAATATTTTAAGTCAGTAACATGTTAAACAAGTCCTAATAGGCCCCATGTAGAAGCTTAAGAGTATCTTGGGTCCATTTACTTTTTTAGAAAAGGAATTAGTCTTGAATGTTTTCAAGCAGAGGAAGCTGGTACTCAATTGAAAGTATAATCAAGTAAGCATTCGGGAGCTCTCCTGTATCCCTGTCTCATGTTTCTTGCTCTTTGTCTCTATTAGGGCCATGAAAAATGTGCCGTGTTAATACTTGACAAGATACAAGATGAGAGCCTTATTAATGCGAAGAACAGAGCCCTACAGACGTGAGTGTGACGACCACAACTTGACGAGTCCAGAGTCATAGGACTTTATTTTTATCTATTCTTTGGGAGCTTCTTATATGTATACAATGAAATATGGTCATTTCCACCACCATTTTCCTCCTCAAACTCACCTGGATCCTTTAGCATGTTACCTTCCCAACTGCATATCTTCCCCCTCCCTCCCTCACTTAACCCATTAAGTTTAGTTTGTGTGCATGGATGTGGACCATACAAGGCAGCGTGGGAAACCTACCAGTGGCTACACCTGCCAACAAGAATGACTCTCTCCACGCAACCCTAACTATCCACTGCAAATAGCTCCTCAGTAAGGGGTGGGGGCCTAGAGTTTATCCATCCCATCTATAAGATCTTGTGCAAATCTTATACAGAAAAGAACAGCCACTATGAGTTCATGAGTGTAAGTGTGTTGTGTCCAAAAGACAGCATGCTCCAGCTCTGTTCCCCATCCTCTGGCTTTCCCATTTGCATCATCTTCTCTGAGATGTTCCCTGGGCCTTGGCCTGTGAGGGAGAGGTGATAAAGGCATCAAAGGCATCTCATTTGGGGCAGGGCCGGAGTCATAGTATTTATCTAATGCACAGTAAGAACTTGCCTCATACTAGTCTAGCTCTGAGAAGTAGATCAGTGCTGGCCAGGCTTCATCTTCATGAAGTTTATGTATTCACATCTGCAGTGTTGACTAGAGATACATGATCTTAGGTAGAGCCCTTATTTTGACACAGCTCTTAGGATCTGTAAGTTCTTTGTTCTCCTACCAGCATTTCTGTACTTCATTATAAATTTAGTGAGCTTTTAGAAAAATCTTCTGGGCTTATGAACTGACATATTTGAAGGAACTGTTTGTATTATGTATTAGCATTATGTAGTCTGACTGGAAAACAACAGGTTTATAAATCAGGTTCCCAGAATACACTTGAACAGTTTCTAAGCTATTTGTCATAATTATATTTTAATATAATTCAGTGTAACCCTCAGTGTGAAGGATCTAAAAGCTGCTTCATTTTCCATCTTGGGAAATTACTTATGCATTTGTTTTAAAGGCAAAGAATATTAGTGGTTTTTAAATTTGAGATTGCTAAAGGGTATAGCACAATATGCTGAGGGTTGATGCTCTTGTATAAGGTACTGTAACCCAATGAGACATCTATGAGCATGCAATAATAAAAATACCTGAGATATATGTTAAAACCACCCATCTCAATGACCTGTGCAAAGTGGGGACTTAAATTAGCCAATGAAGAACCTTCTGGCCTTCTCTGTACTATCACCTAGACTGTTCAAGATGTAGAATATTTATACCACTTGCAGAGAGATCTGGGACAAACACATAAGAAGAGCTGTATCAGTAAGACATGGTCAATATTGCTTTATTCAAAAGCAAAAAAAAAAAAACATGTACTATTTGTAGATTAAGTAAAATATGTCTTCCTTCTAGTGACATAAGTTAACCAAAATGCTACATTTTTTTTTCACTGTTAATTAGTGTTCCTTTATGTCAAATACCCGAGAGAATCATAAAGAAAAAAGGCTTGTTTTGGCTCACAGCTTTCCGTGTTTCAGTCTATGATTGGTTGGCCCCTTTACTTTGCACGAGGCAGCATATCTTGGTGGGGAATACATTGCTATTCACTCACAGGACAAAGAGAAAGTGGGGAGAGCTGGAATCCTACAGTATCAAGAACCTGAAAATCCCCACTGGGCCCCACTCTTATAGGATCAATCATCTCCCACCTCCACCAAGCCTTTAGCATACAGCCTTTAGAAGACCCCACTCACACAAACATGTATCTTGATTGACGCCCAGTGTTGCCTTCCAGACCCCTCCATATCGCTGCACGCAATGGCTTGAAGGTGGTAGTTGAGGAGTTGCTGGCCAAAGGAGCCTGCGTACTTGCTGTAGATGAAAATGGTAAGTAGGAAGAATTAACAGTTGCTACAGGTTGTGTTGGATAAAGTTGGAGGACAATGAGAAAGTCAGGAGCTGCTTAAGAGCCAGTAAGCGGTTTCTTCCCCTTGGAAATGTCTTATGTGTATGAAATCAAACCCAGGTAATTTGCCCTGTCTGTCTTTCTGTACAGTGCAATGTCTACCTGTAGTCCACCATTGCTGTCCATGTTGCACGTAACATCACCAGCACAGCATATTTCATTCACAAGATTCCTGGCATACCAAAAGCCTTTCAGCTTGGCCTTGGGAATTCCAACTGCATACACGAAGGAGTAAGAGATATACAGGTCATTAGCGGAAGGTCCAGGGCTCAGTGGAAACAGGTCTTTGCATTTTGGTTCATTCCTATATCAAATGTTTTTGTAAAGAACAAATCAGGACCCACATTTCTCATGTAGAAAGTTGGGGAACATGGATGAAATGTTTTTACTAAGGTCTAGGCCAGAAGTTTCTCCTGTGTTTTCTCCTGGTTTTACCCTTTCTGTTTGACACACACTTGTCATGGAAAGTGACTACTCTCAAAATGACAGTCGTCCTCTGCCAAGTCTGCAGCTCGTGGTGTGCATTTGCTGTCTGTGGGAACTCCCCCTTGCTAGTTTTTGTGGCTTGTGTCCCCAACCTCCCTTCCTTGCCACATGTTTCTGTTCTGTAGATGAAGGCTGGACTGCTAACTTGGGATAAAAAACTGTGCTTTCTGTAGACAAAACCCAAATCAGAACCTCCATGAAATGTTGCACCTTCCCTGTCCCATTCCAATCTCACCCCGGCATGACTTGTGAGAAGCAACTCCTATGACCTGGCATGAATTCTAACTCAACATGCATCTCCTCTAATGAGGCTGTAGGAGATGTACTGTGGATTGGTGTGCAGCTCTGGGTCGTCTCCACAACTAACCACTGCCTTGTCTGCATTTACGCCCAGGTCATACCCCGGCCCTGGCTTGTGCTCCTAACAAAGACGTGGCTGACTGCCTGGCCCTCATTCTGGCTACCATGATGCCTTTTTCTCCTTCCAGTACAATGGCGGCTGTCAACTTGGTTTGTTTTAGAAAAGACAGTTTGAGCAGGACGACCCTCTCCAATCTGGGGAGCAGGGTTAGTCTGTGCAGTAACAACGTGGGCTCTGAGGATGGGTACAACGAAAACGATTCTGATTCGGAAACATTCTAACGTTGGACTGCAGAGGCATTTCCTCAGTTACCTGTGTTGTAGGAAGGGACAGAAGCTTGAATTCCAGAGTTATGCCATATTCAAGTATTTGAGGCCAAGCTTCCTAGCCAGTAGAAAAGGAATCAGCAATCCAACCAGAAGAGGGAACTAGGCTGTAGGCTGAAGCACACACAGATAGGCCTGGATTTGGTTCTGTTTCATGTTTTCTTTAGGTCCAAGGTACTTCTATGAAAGTCTACCTCTCACTTTAAGTAAGGAAAATGTCTAAGTATTTAATGCTTTGTTTTTGGGGATAATGCCACAGAGATACAAATGTTCAGTCTAAAGATTTCCTTTTTTACGTACTCACCAGTGAGTCCTGTGAGGTCTGTCAAGTGACATTCATGTCCCCTGGGAGGGGAGGAAGAGTAGACAGGAAATGCCTGCACCCTCTTCCCACTCTGTTGTTTACTTCCTCACTAGAAGCCAAAGGTCAAAGTTCATCTTCAGTCTACAGCCTGCAATCATCTTTTATGGGAGTCCACCTAACCGCACCCCCTCATAGGAAGTGTGTAAAGACCCACAGCTTCTTCCCAGGATCCTAGTTAAAAGTTGCCAGATGTGAATGTGAACACTGACCATGTTTCTTGTTAAGCACAAACAAAATAGCACCCAGGGCTCTCCTTAAGAAGTCTGTGAGTGATTTTTCAATGGAGTAACGGATCCCAAATTTATCCAATAACATTTTCAGGTGAAATTATATTGTGCCAAAACTTGAAACAATATGCAAGTCCAATAGGAAATTAACATTTAGTGAGTTTGCTCTTAAATGGAAATGCTAACTTTTGAAAGGGTATCAGGGCTGGCACTGTCCTCCAGTGATAGAATTAGCAAGATAGCTGCTCAGTCAAGGTCATGACTCAGGAGTGACAGTGCACCTGTAAAAGGGAACCAAGAAAATGAATGAGGAAAGCAGAAATGGTTGGCGTGGCCCGTGTGAGCCAACTGCCGGTTGCTTGGTAATGAAATCAGCATTGTGAATACTGTGTCTGCTCCCTCTGCCAAAGCTTCCAGGTCAAACGGACCCCGCTCTTCACCTGGAACAGCTGTACAGAAAGAAGAATGAGACTCTTGAGACTTATGCACATACACACACACACACACACGTGCATATTTATATATGTGCTTCATCAACCAGCTACCCATGAGGACCAAAATGCTTCTTGAATTTTCTTCTTTCTAAATCCAAGTGAGAACTGTAGTAGCTTTTCTATGGGGTTAAAATGTAATCATTTTTGCATACCAGTCTTTATGGTATTTTATATTTTTAACGACACAGATTTGTAGTTGATGGCTTGACATTTGTAACTGATGATGTGTTGACCACAGGTTTTGGTTTTGTTTTCAAACTAGAGAATATGTCTGTAGACTTTGATGTAAATGTGTTTATATTTATTTGAAATGAAACAAATGCTGAAGAAATATTCACTGTTTAGCCTCTCTCTCTCTCTCTCTCTCTCTCTCTCTCTCTCTCTCTCTCTCTCATTGCTATGTATCTTATTTAGAATAATAAAATTAGTGGGAAAATATCCCTGACTCTGGGCTAGTCACAGCTCTGGGGTTAAGCCAAGCATTTCCCACTACTACCAGCTGGCCCTCAGGTTTGTTCATTGCTTGGCCCCATTCTGTAGCCAATCAGAACCCTTCTGTGAGATGAAAGCTGATGTAGCAGATCATATACACAAAGGTAGCCCAAAGAAAGACCCAGAGGCTACAGAAACTGCACCAAACATGTCACATGGTCCTGACACTCAGTGGGAAATCATGCCAAGTGTGGGCACTATGCCAAGAAAAGGAATTAAAAATAAACACACAGACACAAGCCCAAGAGCTATGTTCCACTTGCTGAAGATTCAGAAATCTGCAGCAGTAAGGCATAGCTTTTCAATGTTTTGCAGTAAGTTCTGTCTTCTCCCTTGAATTTTCTATTTTATAGTATCTTGAGAGTTTTAAAAACAGTGCTCTATCACATCTGGATGAGACCCAGACAATGTATGCTATTTGTTTTTATCAAGCTTGGAGACTTTACCCTTACTCTGTTACTATCCTGGGTTAAATTAAAGCTCATGTTGGTTCTTCACAAATGAAAACTTATTCAGAGGTTTTATAAAACTGATAGTGATTTCATTAAACAAATCTTACACCAGCAGTATTTTTTTTTAAACATTCTTAGTGTGAAGGCGTTATATACCCCTCCATCTGTTCTTTCTGCTTAGGGCAGGTGTATTTTTAACAAGTAGACAGACTGCTAAGGAGCAGCAATGACCTGATCTTTAGGGAAGCCTGCAGATTAAGGGAGCTTTCATGTTGAAGTGGCATGATACACTGTGCTGTCTTTTTCTCGAAGTGAATGGAAGCCTTGCTGGGTTGGCATTTAAAGCAGGAAATGAAATGCCTGCATTGGTAGTGATGCAGCAGAGAGCCAGGGGGGTCTCTTCAGCAAAGCAGTGTCCTGGCAGGAACTATCGTGTCTATGCAGCTGCGCTGGCCTGGCCTGGCTCTTTCTGATAGAGGAAAGACAAAGGAACACAATGAAATCAAGCTTACAAAGAGCCATTCTCCTGAGTTGGTCTGTCTGTGTCTGACTGTCTGTCTGAATGTCTATCTGTCTGTCTTCCTTTGGCTCTGTTTCCTTCCCATGCCCAACAAGACCAATTATTTTGAAAAAAGGAAAAAAAAAAAAAAAACGTAAAAGCTATTCCTTGTATGTATTTCAGCTGTCTCTTCCATGTTTGCAACATCGCTTTCTGAGGGGAAATTTTTTTAGTGGAGTCTGAGTTGCTCTGTGCTTTTATGTAAACGTATTTTTTTAGAGTGTTCATTAACCACAGCCACAGGACCATGTTTGCACTTACCTATCCACTGGTGTCTGCCTATCTCTGCTAAATTCATCATCTCCAAATTGCCTAAAGTCCTAGTAAACAATAATAGCTCAGGGGATTTCTATTCATCACTACTAAAAGGGCATCATTGTATGTTTTGGTACTTTGGGCAGTAAGCAGCCACTTGGCTTACTGTACTGTTGCATTAGCACAAGAACACCGGATGGATTTGCTGCACTAGTTATGCTCATGCTATTGAGTAGCCTGGTTTGCGCATCCATCGCGCTGGTTGAGGAACTCATCCCTTTGTGGTCTTGTAACATGATGTCAGAGTGCCTTTTATATTTGTATATCCTGGAAACGTTCCGTGAAATGTTTTGTATTTTTTCAGTTGAGTGTTATTGGAGCAATATAATCCTAGTGTTCCTTTCTTTGAATGTACCAAGAGTCTCCTTTCCTATTTCTCCCCTTCTCTGCTTTGAGATGAAAATGCGTAAGTTTTCTATGGGAATGATGTTTGGCTTTGTAGTGCTAAAATGCTTTCTTCTTACAGAACTGTAAACCATAGGTCAGTATTATAGGGGAACAGCGTTTTAAGATAGTGACAATCTGAGCGTGTGTGTAAAATGTAATTCCACGTGTTTCCTATGCAGTGATCTGAAGATTAAATGCAAGTATGTTTTGTTCAGTAGTTTTGTCTGCAGACTACGCTTTAGCATGTGCAATATATCCTTGCAAAGCACGATGATACACATCTTGTGCCAGTGTTATATTTTGTATAATGTATTTGTAACACCATAAACTATTACATGATGATTTCAGTGGGATTTTGTCTGTACTTTTAAAATGTAAATTGGAGTTGAATGACTCTGTTAAGTGTCATGAGTGTAAAAATGAGGAAAATGGCTTTTAGTTCAGGTCAGTTGAACCAGTCTGAATCTCCCCAAGCACAGTTTCATACTTTGCAACTACTGAATGCTCTGATAATGGAATGAAGTACTTACCTGTAATATACTATAGACATGCATTCAGATGGTTATTTTTACAAATAAAAACGGTACAAATATTGTTGCAATTTGTGTTTTCTTTCATTTTTCAAATGTGTGCTTTTTTAAATTATGCTAATTTGAATCTTTACTCCCTACTCCAAACCAAATTAATTCTGAAAATAATCAAGAAAGCAGCCTTCAGATTTGTTATTTATGCTTACGTTGTCATGCCTAAGGAAAAGATTCAAAGCTATATGTCATGTTCATTATATTTATTTATACACCCAACATTTTTCATAAAGAAACTCAGCTGAGGGCCAGGCGGTGGTGGCACACACCTTTAATCCCAGCACTTGGGAGGCAGAGGCAGGCGGATTTCTGTGAGTTGAAGACCAGCCTGATCTACAAGAGCTAGTTCCAGGACAGCCTCCAAAGCTACACAGGGAAACCTTGTCTCAAAAAAAAAAAAAAAAAGAAGAAGAAAAAAGAAAGGAAGGAAGGAAGAAAAAGAAAGAAATTCAGTTCAATTATAACAAAAGTCATGTGACAAGTCAGAAGCAGAAGAGTCACTCAATTATGGGGACCATCAGGCTTGACACAGTAGCTGTGACTGAAGCTGAAGTTTCTGGAAACTTCCTTGTGGGGAGAGGGAAGTGTAATGAATCACCACATCTATCAAACAGGAGGCAATCATATAGGTCCTCACACTTGCAAAGCCTACTGTCTGCATTGCCATTACTCAGCATAGCTACCATGTGAGGCTTAATGGAAGTAAACGATTCTGCCAGTGCACTGTCCTGAAAGGTAGAGTCTAATTTGCTTCTCCATCTGTCCTAAGTTTCTCACCTGGATTATTAGCTTCAAGGACAGCCCTTGGAAAGGCTGAGGAGCATCCCTAATGTTGATGTCTCCAGCTACTGAAAAAGATTTGGGGTATGTAGCTTGCCCGTACTCCTCAGATCATAATGTCACAAAAATAGACCATCTTGGTTCTTACAGACCAGTCCTGTCATCAGATTTTTCATGAAGAAGACAGATTTCAGAGACAGTCTACGACCTGCTCAGGTTTGTAGAGCTAATGATCTGACCACATGACTTATGCCTCTAGACATGGCTTATGCCTCTAGACACTCTCTTCTGTGTCATTCTGCCATAATGTTTGCTTTTTTTTTAACAAAGACATTCTGGAAAGTCTTGTATTCAACCTTGCCTTATTCTTTATCGAAATACACAAATCTGGATTTTCCTTAAGGACTGTAAATCATGTCCCATATCATAAGTCAATGTTTGCTGTCCACTGAGAGAAAACTGACTATAGTAGTTATATGTAGCTGTGTAACAAATGCTCCCAAACTCAGTGGTTTAACAATAAATGTTTATTCTCCTAGTTTCCATGAATATGTCATGGCATTTTTGGGTCTTCTGCTACAGAGTTTCTTGTATAATCCAAAATTGATTCATTTCTAAGCTACACATATGGTTATTGGCAAGATTCTTCATAACTTGTTGAATGAAGGCCCTGCTCTCTTTATGGCTCATGGCAGCTTTTGCTGAGTATACCTTTCCAAAGTGAAGCTCATGGCATAATATCCTCCCTCAGCAGGTCAGCCAAACTGAGAAAACCTGAAGAAAGGAAAAATATAACTCTGGCTTTTGTAGCCGAGTCTTAGAAGTGATATCACACCATTTCCCTTATATTCAAGAGAAATAGCATACTAGATTCTGTCTATAGTCAAGGACTGCTGAACAAATGAGCAGGTAGCTGACATCATTGATAGTTCCTCATCACACTGTTCCATCACGGTGTCCTCACAATGTATGGCACTGTCCTCAAATGCCTTCCCAGGGATGGCTGTGGTGGGAATTGTTTACTTGGCTTCATAAATTCCTTTCAAAAACAATATAGATCCCTAATTTTATTTTTGCCTCCATACTGTAAGCAATAGTGGCCTCTCCTGCAGTATAATTCTGTCGATGTCCCTCTTTGTCTTCAAATTGCTTATCAAATGCTGCTTCTCTGATTCCATTCAATGGGGTTAGAGCCTCACATATCCATCCTTCACTTAATATGTTGCAAATTAGCTTAGAAGACTGAAGAGCTTTCAGCTTAGAAGGCTATTAACTCAGCATAAAGCCTTGTGGGTAAATGTGCTCTACGGATTGTCTCTTTAGCACATTTCATTCTGAAGGCACATTGGCTGTAAAGTAAATGGATATGTCTTCCATTCATTCCCAACCTCCCAAGAAGTAGCTGGAAGTATGTGGGCATTTTTGGTTGGCTCAGTGGCTCGAGATGGAAGAGTTGGAATGGCTACTAACAGCATCCACTGTTTGGAGGCTAGGGGACATCAGATGTTCCACCCAATTCAGTAAGCAGCTGTTCCACATCCCACCCACAATGCCAATGGTCCCTTCTTCCTCTGCTCGTCCAACCACTCTCCTCATTTCTCAATCATTCCTTCATCAACTTATTGCCTGTGCAACCAGTCATATTTCTTTATCATCACAAGGAATCATATAAACAGGCTCTGTTATGTGTCCCATCATAAGAAGAGTTTCCATTATAAGGTAATCTAAGCCCATGTACCCTGTCTCCCCACCCCCCCAGGAGGGATCACATATAGGTGAGTAGACAAGAGGATAGCATCACGAATTGAAGGTGAGTATTTATTTCTTGTATTAGTAAGTGCACTCATATATGCATACATGCTATTCCTTAAGCAAGGGTGATTATATCTATTTTCAGATAGGTACACTTTTGCTTACAAATATGTGAAATGTGGCCCAGTGTTATATAGTAAGTTCTGGAAAGTGCACCATGGGCTCTAGACACTGGTGGACACAGTGTCTTAAAATGACATTTGGTGTATACTTGAATTCAGGAAGAACTTGTACTTTTTAAAAGTAAAACTATGTGAGTATTTAAAGGACAAAAAGTGTACCTGTGTTTACAGCCACTGGATATAGTGTTATCAGTGGGCTTTGTCTACAGGGTGTTTCCAGATCTTGCTATCTTGTCAAAGTATACACGAATTCAAAGTAGCAAGGGATTTTATTCTGAAGGAAAACACAAGTACAGATGTATTTCAAGCAAATAAAAGGCTGTGAGTACAATTTACTGTTTGAGGCTGCCCAACAGGAAGGGAAGTCGGCCATTAAGGTGCAAGGCATGGGTGATTTCATTGACAGGCTTCCATAGGCCTTGATTACTGTGAAGCTTTCCTGTGATGCATTTTAATTTTACACACACCCATAGGCATAATACAGTAAACAAAATTTCCCCTAAAAGGTCATTCAAAGGAACCAATTTGCCTGTCTGCACATGCACAGTTCAGGCTTGTTTGGCCTATTCTCCATAGCTACAGGATATGTTTAGAATGTGTTTGTAAAAAAACTGCACTGTTTGGAGCAGGGCATATGTGCATCTTGATGCAGATTGGGGAATTTCAGGTCATTGAGTGCATTGTTAGGGTATATATATAGTTCAGGACAAGTGGGGTTCTGTATTACTGAGTTAGCCCCATGCTGGCTGCCTCTGGGTACCTGTGAATTTGAGAGGCTTCATTATTCCTAGTTCTTATTTTTATTTTCTTTCCTTCTTTTTAAAAGACAGATTCTCACTACGTAGCCCAGACTGCTTGGCCTTGCACTCTCCATCCTCCTGCCTCAGCCTCCTGAGTCGCTGGGATTACAGGTCATGCATACACGTCATGCATAACTGCCAGTCTGTCTTGTTTGGTTTCCTAAGGAAGGTAAGTACTGAACTTCAGTTCTTTTCTTATGATTCCTTTTTTAAAAAAAGATTTATTTATTTATTATTTATTTGTGTATTATGTGTGTTGTATTCTGTCTGCAGTTCTTAGCCACAAGAAGTTGCTGACTATGGAACTGTCAGGCAGGAAAGATTTCATGGAAGAAATGTAGGTTTATCTATGCAACAGCAATTACATCAAGAAGGTCAGTTTAGATAGGACAGGGGCTCTTCTCTGGGTCTGGCAAAACAGAATCATTAGGGTCTTTTACAAGAGTGGAGGTGTCAGAGTGATGTCATCCATAAATACCGGGTTGAGGAGAGAAAAAGATGTGAGGAAGAATGAAAGAAGTCACTAGAAAAAGATGTGGAGAGAGAGGAGCATTTTTAGATAGGACATAGAGCATACTGGTGGTGATGGGGAGATTTATGGGGCGAGGGGAGGTAGAAGTTTTGGAAGACACAGGAGGTTTGGAAGTAACTGTGGAGTTTGCATCAGAACACTTGAGATTTACAGCATGAATTTTAAATAGCCAACCACTCTTACAGACCTTTCCATAGATATTGGGATGCAGGCTCAGAATACCTTGAAAGTGGAGTTTGACCAGGGATAGAGCCTTACTGGGTGAGCACAGCTACAGGAAGGGCAGTGGAACTAACGTGACTGTAAAAGCCATGAATCTGACACCAGGTCAGTGGGCATGCTAAAATGTAAGGGGAGTGATGAGGAGTGTTTCCAAAGGTGGTCCAGTCAGTGTGTTGATGGCTCAGAGATGGGAGTCATTGAGTAGTAGCATGAATTTGGTGAGCTGGCTTCGGGTCCTCAGGGGGAAAAGTTCACAAGTTCTACAATTCTGATAATGACAAAACTCAGGATGCCAACTATGAGAGTAGGTGGTTGAGGGTTAAAGGAAACACATTGGAGGGGAGATATAAATCCTGGAGGATTCAACAGAGCTGACACTGTGGCCTGGTTTGTGCTTGCTACACAAGAGTGTGAGTTTGGATCCCTAGCATCCACACAGAAGATAGGTGTGGTAGTATACATCTGTAGCCCTAGAGCTTTCATGGATGGGGACAGGAAGATTTCCCCAGAGCTCTCTGGCTATCCAGTCTAGTCAGTTGGTGAGCTCTGGTTTCTGAACTCAGGGAGAGACCCTTTCTCAAAAGAAAGAAATGTAGAGACCTATAAAAGAAGATACCTAATATTGACCTCTGACTTCTAAATACACACAGACATATATGTACTTGTATACACACACACACATTATATATAACACCTGTAGATACAAAAAAATTTAAGTACTAAAAATATTTTTTTTAAATCCCAGAGAG